AGTACCAGAAAACGCAACGGAAGAAAGCCATGAATTTCGCCGTTATCGGTTCGTACTACCCGTTTCTCTGCGGATGGACGGACGCCACTGACAAGCGATTAGGCCATGTCGACGCAGGAAAGAGTACGTTGATGGGACGCCTGCTGGCCGACCTCAAAGCTGTCGATCAGCGCACATTAGAAAAATATCGTAAAGAGGCAGAGAAGATTGGGAAGGGATCCTTTGCCCTTGCCTGGGTATTAGATCAAGGCTCCGAGGAGAGAGCTCGGGGTGTTACTATTGATATTGCAACAAACAAGTTTGAGACGGAGAGTACGGTGTTTACGATTGTGGATGCTCCGGGTCATCGGGACTTTGTACCCAATATGATTGCGGGCGCCAGTCAAGCCGATTTTGCCGTTCTCGTCATCGACTCTAGCATAGGCAATTTTGAGTCTGGACTCAAGGGTCAAACGAAGGAGCATGCTCTCCTCGTGCGGAGTATGGGTGTGCAGAGGATCATCATTGCTGTGAACAAGATGGACTCTGTCCAATGGGACCAAGGTCGCTTTGAAGAAATCGAACAGCAGGTTTCTTCTTTCCTGACAACTGCTGGATTCCAAGCCAAAAACATCGCTTTCGTGCCCTGCTCGGGTATTAGCGGCGATAACGTAACTAGACGCAGTGAAGACCCGAATGTCTCATGGTACAAGGGTCATACGTTGATCGAGGAGCTTGAAGCTACGGAACCTTACGCCCATGCTATTGAGAAGCCATTGAGAATGACCATTGGGGACGTCTTCCGGGGCAGCGTTCAGAATCCTCTATCCATTTCTGGCCGCATCGACGCCGGTAGTCTCCAAGTTGGCGATCAGATCCTCACGATGCCAAGTGGCGAAAAGGCCACGATACGCAGCTTGGAAGTGGACGGGGAGCCCAACGACTGGGCGGTGGCGGGTCAGAACGTCACGCTCAACCTGGTCAATATTGATCCCATCCATCTCCGATCTGGCGATGTCATCTGCCGTGCCTCGGCGCCCATCGCCAATGTTACGTCGTTTACATGCAAGGTGTTGGCCTTTGATCATCTGTTGCCCAGCATGGTGGACATCCACCGGGGCCGCCTGCACGTACCCGGCCGTATCAGCCAGCTGGTCGCAACCTTGGACAAGGTGACTGGCGCAAGCATCAAGAAAAAGCCCAAAATTGTTGCTCCCGGTACTGTGGCACGGATAGTGGTGGAGATGGACCAGGCTGTACCTCTTGAGGCACCTACACGTATTGTACTACGGGCTGGAGGTGAAACAGTGGCTGCTGGGTTGCTAGAGTAGATTATGGTTTGATTGCATTGGCAGGACAATATATATTTCTGATGTAGATAGTATGTCCCTCTATTTACATGGTTGCCATTAAACACAACATATATATATCTTTCCGCACCACTTCAGCGCGCTAACTTGGTCTACTACTACGTACAGTCCACTACAACTGATCGTACTGAATCGTAATTAGCATATATTTATTGATTTTCTATATGGTTACTCTACCACCACAAGTACTACTACTAATAACCTACTTACTAGTATTATATAAGAGTATGTTTGTCTCATACACCAAGTACTACGAGAGCTGCTGGAAATGGCACCTTTGGTGACTAACGGAGAAAGGGTCCCTTTCAGCCACATCCACTGAAACAGAGATCAAACGATCTGGCCAGGCTGGCAGAAACCTCATGCCTTGGCTGAATCAATAATTCAGGAAGCTGGGATGCGCCTCCTGAGTGGGGGGATGTATCCACTTTCACAGCGGAAGACCCTTGGGTGATCTTTTAGTGACTCAAAAAGCAGTAATGACTTGACTCAATGATGGTCAATAGTGGAATCTGGCCATGTGGTGATTGCCGAGTTGTTGACAGGCTGGCCCCTTTTCTCATCTTTCCTTCAATCTTCAGCGTCAACCCCCGGACTTCAGTAAGAGTAGGGTCAATCTTCCGGGAAATGGCGCCGAAGGAACGGAACGGCCAGTTGTTCAAGTGCCGAAAGAGGCAAAGTGCCCCTGGAGGAGTGAAGAACGCCTAACCGAAGCGAGCGAATCACGCGACGATTCTAGCAAGTTCGGTGGACCGCCTTCCCCCATTTGGACGAACGCCTTCCATTTTTCCGCCGGCAGAACCACCGGGCGGTGGCCGTGCACGCTGACTCAGCCCCGCCCTGGACGCGTCGCGGACCAATGACAGCCCGAGGAGTAACCTTAAAGTCAGATACCCGCGAAAAGGCCAGCATGGCCGCTGCGCTTTCTTTGCCGCTGGCAAGCCATACAAGAAGCTGGCCGGAGCTTCTCGAGACACTCTTTCTTCTCTCCGTCGTCGCCTTCTTTCACCCAACTCTCTTCTCCCCCCTTCCCTCTCCGCCCTCGCTCTTTCTTTCCTTCCCGTTCTCATCTGGGTTGGACTGTATCTATTTTTCCCTTCTTTCTTCGTGCCGGGGAATAAAAACCGTGTACGAGCAATAGGAGGATTCTTTCACATTCATTCGCTGCTGTCTCCAATTGAGCAGCTCGTCGATTAAAAAAGTCTACTACGTGTCCTGTGGTGAAAGGACATTTCACACATAATGGCGCGCATCTCGCATCAGGGTGCGGCCAAGCCCTTCACGGCTTGGACCACCATCTTCTACTTGCTGCTTGTTTTCATTGCCCCCCTCGCCTTCTTCGGCACTGCACACGCTCAGGATGAGACTTCGCCTCAGGAGAGCTACGGAACTGGTAAGCACAGCGTCTGCGAAGACAGTGAAGAAAATCTGCTAACGATCTCTGTCATCAACAGTCATTGGTATTGATCTGGGAACCACCTACTCTTGTGTCGGTGTTATGCAGAATGGAAAGGTCGAAATTCTCGTCAACGACCAAGGAAACCGTATCACCCCTTCATACGTCGCTTTCACCGATGAGGAACGCCTGGTCGGTGACGCCGCTAAGAATCAATACGCCGCCAACCCCAGACGGACCATCTTTGACATCAAGTGAGTTTTCTGCTTCTCGCGAGTTTCGTGGCGATCTGTTGCTAACGCTCTCTAGGCGCCTGATCGGTCGCAAGTTCGATGACAAGGATGTCCAGAAGGACGCCAAGCACTTCCCCTACAAGGTCGTCAACAAGGACGGCAAGCCCCACGTCAAGGTTGATGTCAACCAGACCCCCAAGACCCTGACCCCCGAGGAGGTCTCCGCCATGGTTCTTGGTAAGATGAAGGAGATCGCCGAGGGCTACCTTGGAAAGAAGGTCACCCACGCCGTCGTCACCGTCCCCGCCTACTTCAACGACGCCCAGAGACAGGCCACCAAGGACGCTGGTACCATTGCCGGCCTGAACGTTCTCCGTGTCGTCAACGAGCCCACCGCCGCCGCTATCGCCTACGGATTGGACAAGACTGGTGATGAGCGCCAGGTCATCGTCTACGATCTTGGTGGTGGTACTTTCGATGTCTCCCTCCTGTCCATCGACAACGGTGTCTTCGAGGTCTTGGCTACCGCTGGTGACACTCACTTGGGTGGTGAGGACTTTGACCAGCGTGTCATGGATCACTTCGTCAAGCTCTACAACAAGAAGAACAACGTTGATGTCACCAAGGATCTCAAGGCCATGGGTAAGCTGAAGCGCGAGGTTGAGAAGGCCAAGCGTACTCTGTCTTCCCAGATGTCCACCCGTATTGAGATTGAGGCCTTCCACAACGGCGAGGACTTCTCCGAGACCCTTACCCGCGCCAAGTTCGAGGAGCTGAACATGGATCTGTTCAAGAAGACCCTGAAGCCTGTCGAGCAGGTTCTCAAGGATGCCAAGGTTAAGAAGTCCGAGGTTGACGACATTGTCCTCGTCGGTGGTTCTACCCGTATCCCCAAGGTCCAGGCTCTTCTCGAGGAGTTCTTCGGTGGCAAGAAGGCCAGCAAGGGTATCAACCCTGATGAGGCTGTTGCTTTCGGTGCTGCCGTCCAGGGTGGTGTCCTGTCCGGTGAGGAGGGTACCGGCGATGTTGTTCTGATGGATGTCAACCCCCTGACTCTGGGTATTGAGACCACTGGTGGTGTCATGACCAAGCTCATCCCCCGTAACACTGTCATCCCCACCCGCAAGTCCCAGATCTTCTCTACCGCCGCTGATAACCAGCCCACCGTCCTCATCCAAGTTTGTAAGTAATTCCATGCTTTGATTGAACATCCCGGACTGTCTGCTAACTGACTGTCACAGACGAGGGTGAGCGTTCCCTGACCAAGGACAACAACCTGCTCGGCAAGTTCGAGCTTACCGGCATTCCCCCGGCTCCCCGTGGTGTTCCTCAGATTGAGGTCTCCTTCGACCTGGATGCCAACGGTATCCTGAAGGTTCACGCCAGCGACAAGGGCACCGGCAAGGCCGAGTCCATTACCATCACCAACGACAAGGGTCGTTTGTCCCAGGAGGAGATTGACCGCATGGTCGCCGAGGCTGAGGAGTTCGCCGAGGAGGACAAGGCCATCAAGGCCAAGATCGAGGCCCGTAACACCCTGGAGAACTACGCGTTCAGCCTGAAGAACCAGGTCAACGATGAGAACGGCCTGGGTGGCCAGATCGACGAGGACGACAAGCAGACCATCCTGGACGCCGTCAAGGAGGTGACTGAGTGGCTCGAGGACAACGCTGCCACTGCCACCACCGAGGACTTCGAGGAGCAGAAGGAGCAGCTCTCGAACGTGGCGTACCCGATCACCAGCAAGCTGTATGGCTCTGCGCCGGCGGACGAGGATGACGAGCCCAGCGGGCATGATGAATTGTAAAATTACCATACCATTAGAGGGATCTTTATGGAGTTAGCTTTTTGATTGTTGTGTGTTTTTGTTGAGACCATTGTTTTGGCCCGGTTTTTGCTGACCAGTCGTCCAACCGAGTATGATACCTGACCTGACCTTGACATTATTAGAGGCAGCAATTGCATGATACCTTTTATCCAAACTTGACTCTCATCTTGTAGACTATACACATAGCACAACATAAAACAAATCACTCTAATACATATCGTATATATAATATATTACACTAATGAATTTATTTACATCTTCGCAATAACCTCCCTGATCGTCTCCACCACCACCTGATGATCATCCTCCTGCTTCAACCCACTCACCACCACAACACCCACAATGCCATCCACGCCCCTCACCCGAATGGGAAACGCACCCCCATGAATGGCAAACTCATCCGCCGCGCCTCCACCGCCGCTACTCGTCAAGGCAAACTTCCTCACAAACGCCGCCTCCACCTCACTCGCTTCCGCCCCCGTCGAACTCAACATCTTCTGTCTCATCAACCAACTCGACACGCCCCATCGCAACACTGTGTTCCGCTTCCGTCGCACCCACACCTCGTTGTCCGCTACCGTACCGGGCTCGGTGGCGCATTGGAAGATAACGTGTGGTTCGGAGCCCCCCGTCAAGGTAATGGAGATTAGCGCTGGCTTGCGTTGTGTGGGTGGGAGGGATAGAATGCGCTCGCGCAGGGCGAGGCCGAGGGTCCAGGCGGTGCTGGAGGTGAAGCTGGGGAAGAGGACGGAGGGGTTGGATTCGAGGGCGGCGAGGTCGCGGGGCTGTTTGGGTTATTAGCTGGGGGTTTGAAGAGGAGGAATGGGATGGGGATTGTGGGGTAGAACGTACGTCGGTGCTTGCGGGGGGGAGGGGAGTGTCTTCCATTTTTGGGTGGTTGGTGAGATTGGTTCTTTGTAGATGATGGGGAGTGCTTGTTGGCTTTGTGAAGGGAGTCAAGTAGAGGTAAAAGGAGAAGTAGTAGGTAGTAGAGAAAGGAAAGAAGTAGAAGATCTGGAGTAAATGACAGGAGGGGTCCTGATTGCTAAGCTCGGTTGGGGGTGTGTGGGGGTAGTCTGTTACATAAATGATTACATGATCATCTACTTACTTCCTTCTATATTTGGGATGCTGTTGTCATGCCACATCATAACATGTCCGTCCATGTAACTATGGGTCACATTGTTATCTTGACTTTGTTCAGATATTGAACAAGTGGAATGGAATTATGGCTGTGGAGAAATATGGTGGAATCTGCATGCAATCGGGATTCTGATGAATGGCCGGTCTTCCTTCTGACTCCGCATTGCTTTGCCTTCCCCTCATCTGCAGCTAATCATTCCATCTCATCCCTCTCTTCGGATACTCCTTTCATCTTTCATTCTTACTATCCATCTATCCATCTATCCATTTCCTTTGTTAGCTATCTGATTGGGATCTAGTGATTATCATCCCCTACCCATGCGCCATCGACTCACAAAGCGTGCATGCGATGAGTGTATCTCCCGCAAGGTCAAGTGCAGCGGCGCCTGGCCTTGCGATACCTGCCAGAGTGCCCCTAAGAAAGTCAACTGCACTTACCTGAAGCCTGCACGGAGAAGGGGACCAAAGGTAAGGAGATATACTGGTGAGCAGGGAGAAGAGCGCCTGACAACCGGTCCTCTGATCCCTCCGCATGTTGATTCTCGTGACGAGGAGATATCCCGTGTGGAAGCAGAGCGACCTGCATCGACTATCATCCCAACAGAAGAACTAGTCTCAGTTGTGCGTTCGTATCAGCAGGCTTCTTATAGCGTGTGGCCGGTTGTCGATGCTGAAGTGCTATTGGAGAAGCTTGAACATGGCACACCGAATGTGGGAACCTTGTGTCTGACTATGGCGCTCTGTGCAGCCACCATGGCGCAGCTGCAGCTTGCCCCGACAAGTATTGATAGCACGATGATGGCGGCGGAGTGTATGAGGATGCGTGAAGCACATCTCGACTTGAGGAGCGTCTTGGTTTCCTTCTTCCTGCATGTTTATCATGCCAAGATCAATAAGAGGGACTCGGCTATGTTGTTCATACGAGAGGCTGTGTATGGAGCTCGGCTCTTGAAGTTGGATGAGGGCGTGGGTAGGCATGATACTGAGCTGGATGCGGATGTTGTTGCTAATAAGGAGATCGTGTTTCTCTTGCTCTGGGTTTCTGAAAGGTAGAAACTCCCGTCCGCACTTCGATTGTAGCTCAGTTTAGCTGACATGGTTTAGGGGCTATTCTTTGCATCTTGGTCTCGAACCCTCGTATACCACTCCTATCCACCTACCGAATGAGGTCGATGTCGGCAATAATGTAGATGTGAAAGGCTTGCTGGAGCTCGGCAGACTCTTTGCCACGTTTGATGGATTTTCGTCTAGGAGAAGCTCCAATGCTAGAGATAAACCGGAAATGACTGCAAATAGTCTGGCAGAGACGGAGGCAGTCTTGTCGATGCTTTCTTTCGGCAAAGGCGACAGACCTTGCACCCGTATTGCTGATTACTGCATCACGAAAGAGTGGATGAGGACTATCATCTGGCAGGAAGCTCTGTCTCGGCATCTTCTCTCGTCGAAATCGGGTGCTCGACTTATGACGTTCAGGTTCCCGGCCGTGGTCAGCCGTGACCTTCTGATGTCGTTGCAAAGCTTTACTGAGTCAGACCTGTTGCCACTAGGACGCGACCAGGTTTGTCTTCTGCATTGATTGAAATTGTGCATACTAATCAAAACCTGAATTAGCTGTTGAAGTGTTTCGAGATTGCCAACTCACTCGCGGATACTGTCCTGCTCACGCCGTGTGTCCCGACATGCTCTGACTTTCAAATGCGGCCGCATGATTTTCTGCACGCGTTGTACCAGAAGCTGCTACCTTTCCTGGAGCAAGATTTCATGCTGAAGTCGATACTGCATAGTAAGACGGCCGAGGCTTTGGTTAAAGCCCCTGCGCGCATATTGAGAATGGACTATAACCCTTGGTCATTCGATCACGATGGGGAGTACGCTCACAGCACTGGAAAGCATGTGGACTCTCCGGAGGAGGACGCTGATTCGCACTGGATTCTTTATGGATAGAAAGTGGGTGAAAGTGTCTGATTTTGTCAAAGAGATATGACGAACTGCAGAACTGCTATTCTCTGAACTATACAGCACGAGTAAGCTACTGCGAAACTTGAAGGACAATTCTACCTGCAATGTCACCCTTCTCCATCTCTTCGTACACCTCAGGCAACTCCTTGAACGTGCGAACTTTGATTTCCGGTTTGACAACCCCACGTCGGACCAACTCTACTGCCTCCATGCACTCTTTCAGTGAGCCGATAAGGTTTCCGGTAACCCGGAGGCCTTTGATTACGATCGTGCAAATAGGAGTTTCCAGTACTGGACGGCCCGGCGGGATTCCAACGCAGCTTAGAGTACCTCCAACCCGCAGCATGTCACAGGCATGGGCGAAGGCTTTGGCACTTCCCGCAGTCACAACAACAGCATGCGCACCAAGACCGGTAATTTCATGGACCCGCTGCACCGGATCCGTTGAAGTGAAGTCAATGAACTCGGTAGCTCCCAATCCAAGGACAAAATCTCGTTTGTCGGCAGCGTCAACACCGATCACCAATGCTCCCTGTGCTTTCGCATATTGTACTGTCTGGTCAGTATGTGGTAGCCTCGCGATAATGCGCCAGACTTACCAGCCAGATGTCCAAGACCACCTCCGGCACCTACAACAACGAGCCAGTTGCCTGCCCGGATATTCGCATTGAGAACAGCCTACAGACAGTCGGCGATTAGATCTTTTCGTGCGTGCGTAGAACTGATTCTTACCTTGTACGCTGTGACACCAGCACACAGCACCGGCCCGATAACCTTTGGATCTATATCGTCAGGAAGGATAGTGAGATTGTCGGCATCCAAAGCAATATACTGCTGGAAGCTGCCGTCTTCATGGTGGAGGTGGTTCGTGCCCTTGACACAGTACTGTTCCGTGCCGGCTAAGCAGAATTCGCATCTCCTACAAATCCGACTAGCGAAGCGAATGCCGACCAGTCCGCCGACCTTCAGGTCAGGGTCACAGTTGGGGCCCCGAGCCACAATTTGCCCGACGCCTTCATGGCCTCCAATATGCGGGAGTTTGATGTTTGTGATAGGATTGCCATCAGCACCAGCGGCGGTGCCGTTTTTCGTATGTAGGTCTTCCCGAACGTGTTAGCCATCTAGATGACTTGTATGATAGAGGTTCTAAGACTGACCACTCTGACAGACACCTGTATAGAGCACCTTCGCTAATACCTCATTTGACCCGGGGGTAGGGACAGGATAGCCTTCACGGAATTCCACACTGCCACCCAGTTCTCGAACGAGAGCCACCGTTTGAGTCTGGGGGATCTCATCCGAAGGAAGGGACATAGCACCCATGTTGAATTCTCTGAGATGCCGAGTACTAGATTTCTTCTCTATGGGGCAAGTGCTCCAACAGAAAGTGATACCTGGGGAGTAAAGCCATATAAATAGTCTAGCTTCCAATATTCAATCAAACAAACCCCCAAATTCACGCCCCCAAATGCAATAGTGTAGATAACTATCCCTCGATAGACCAAATCCACCCCCCTAACCAAGCTAATTCTCCAATTGGTCCAGACGCCCTGCAGCCGCGGGACCAAACCACGGCAGCAAGACTCGCCCTAATCTTATTTCTCCGAGCCAAACAACAACGAACAAAGAACCCCCTCGCACGAACCATAGGTGAATGATAGCCACTTACTTCGACTCATACCTGCATGATCGTCCTGTATTCACAATCATCTAGACCCCTCGTGTCGCTGCTGGGGAGGTTTCGTGATATTTCACACCCCCTCACTTCGTGATAGTAGAGATGTGGCAGAATTGCATTGCGTGGCTCCGCAATTTCTCCGCTTCATACGTTGAATGTGTATTGGATGGGTGGTAGGTAGCTCGTATCGCTATTTCTCCGAGGGGTGGATGTGTCATGCGTTGCGTATTTGGGGATGGATGGAGAGATAGCGCTGTGAGAAGGACGGTAAGAGATAAGGAGGAGTTGGGCAGTGCATTTACTCGTCAGTTTGGAAGTAAGGAGGATGTTAAGGAGGGTTAGTATCGCTTTTAGATAGTGGAAGTTGTGCTGGTGCTGCGGGATGATTGTCTAACTTTTCAGTTGCGATGCGCCATACTTGATAATGAAGATATGCTCAAGCATTAATTATTGAGAAGGCGAAATGTATGTTGAGCTAATCAGTGGGAAGAGCTTGGGTTTTTTATTCTTGCAGCCAGAATGGTAGCTTGACTTGTCTTGTGTGAGTCAATAGCATTTCTATTATAGTTAGAAAACCATCATCGTTTGTCCAGTCTCTGTCTAATGTAGTTCCCGTAGCAGTCAGTTTATGTGTCTGCAGCAATCATGGAACTGTGGTCTGGTCACTAAGAAAGATCTGCAGTCATCAGCTATATAAGGCAAGTGATGTGCTCTCCCTTCATATCCTGCGGGCCTAATCCTCAATCTCACGGACCCTAGCTGAAGGTCTACTATCGGGAGGCAAGTATCCAACTAGTAAACAAACATTTATTTTCTGATATTTGAGACATGGTATAATTAGTGCTAACTGGCAAAAGTCCCCTCTACGCGACGCAATCAAGGATTGATTCTTTGAACTCTGGATAGCATGGAACGGTTATCGGGTCCTCTGAAAGCGGAGATGCCGAGGCGGATCAATGAATCGGACGATCACTACTAGTCATATATTTAGTCTAGTTCCATCTGTGTCTTTCCGGTGATATACCTATCTGCTGATGCTTTTACTGGTCTAAATACTAGACAAACCGCACATTATCAATCTGTGTCAGGCTTACTTCTGCATTTCTACACTAAGCAAATACAAACACACTCCATATATCACGTTGCAATTTCTTGAACTTAGAGAGTCGGATTTAGTCAGTGAAGCAGGATAAGAATGTATCCTGTTCATCGCCATGGCTAGAAACTGATAGGTTACTATTGTACTCGAAAACCTCTTGGTAGGAAATTAACCAGATGTTCCAAGTAAGTATATACCGAACCTCTTGGATGCAGACGCTCAGGGGCAATGCATCCAATAACCAGGCGTCCAACTATACATAATTCGACAATTAGGCGGCCAAGGCGACCAGAACTAAGGCATCCAAGAACTGGTTATCCAACAAAAAGATAACTTACATGGATGACTATTGGTTGCAATCTAGGTACCAGGACCCTGAGAAGTTGCTGCGGCCTCGGATGATGGATGGAGAACCAGAGTACTAGATATCTATATAAGTAGCCCATGGTCAGAAATATCTCCCAATTGTTCTGGTAAGACATTGCATCATAAACACCAAAGGCATCGTATCTCACATCAAATCCAAGACATTTCGTACAATCGAAGCATTACTTTATCAATCATCAAGATGGTCGCATACAGTTCGAAAGCTCTGGCCACAGCTGCTTTGATTCTAGGCTTTTCATCTTCTGCCTTTGGGTGCCTGGTCATCACTGGATCAACATACAATGGAAATGACTTTGATGATGGCACCATCACTACAACTGATAGCGGCGTTCAAACCTGCAACGGCAACGTAGGTATTGGAGACAACAATGTTGGTATGTTTGTGGTTTTGTCTATCCCTCTTGTATTGGTTTAGTATACTAAATCCAAGAAAAGACTGCATTTCTGGTTACTCGCTGAACTATGACTATACCGACAACAACAGGAACGGACCGATGCCAATCACCTACTGTAACCCATCGAACTGGTATATACCTCCTTGTTTAACTTCGACTTTTGTAATTATAATAGAGAGACATAAGGCTGATCTTTTATTATTAATAGTTACGGTATCAATGTTCCACTGAGCTGCCCTAATAATGGTCTCCCTTGCACATTTGACTTTTCGACTTTCTGTGGCTAGGACTGTTCTTGCCGGCATACAATTTGCGGAGGAAGCACTTGGAGATAGGATTCTATGTGAGAAGAAGGGGAGGGTTAGAAAGTATCAGGGACTGCTATCTAGAACTTAACTCACAGTTGAGAACAACATCTTAGAACTGAAGACTTGGGTATGTGCCACTAGATAGCTAAATATGATGAGCAAGTTCTCCCTGAGCGCACAAGAATGATTAGTTAGACGAATAGAGAATTGACGAAGAGGGTTGGTCGGACGATATCCCAGCTCAAGTGACTTAGGTTGCATCACTCCACAAAGACGCCATGATTACATAGGGTTTTATAGGTCCAACGGTAGGAGATGTGCGGCCTACGGATAAGAAGCGACTTCCCATCAGAGCTAAATTGAAATGCTAGATCTATAACAAACAAATCCCAGCTCCGGTACCAGATCGAGGCCACAAATACAGGCCCCAGGCGTAGAAGATCTAATGATAAGCACAAAGGGTAACAACTACCCATCCATATGATGTGACTGCGGAACTGCGGACGGAAGGGACCAGGATAAGTGATAGAGCAAGGTGCTCTTACCTTTTCCATACGCCGGTCTCTCACAATATCTCTGGAGCATATGGCCTTGCCTTGGTGCACTTGAAGCACCACGTCTGTCTTTCTCGTTTTCCAGTACCAACTACAGAAATATCCGTCACGATCGACCGCATATTTAGGTAGGGACAGTTTCAACTATCTTCTCCGACTAGTTATGAGAGATTTGGATTCTCACGATGATAGAACACTCACTACTCTCAACTTTGTCAACTGCCATCTTTCATTCAGTGCTAGCCCCCTTCTCTTATTATGACGACGCAATTGACTCCAATTTTCCGAAGAGAGTTTATCAGAAAGACATTTGAAGAACAAAAGCTCGGCGAAGTGAATACGTGGGCGGACCTGAGACAACTGGACACTATACCCGCTGAACTGTACTCTCAAATTGTGTGCTGCCTTGATGACCCCACCCGTAAGACACTCGAGCTTGTGTCAAGAGGGATACGCAACAGGACTAAAGCGGCCTCGTTGAAAGCGAAATCGATGGAAATCAGAGTTACCACTGACATGGTAGGGTTCTGTCACCTATTGGAGGTGGCATACAATAAGGCTATTTGCTCATACCCTGAGACTCTTTGGTTTGAACCCAGAAGGCTCCCAAACGGGGGGCAGATGGCGTCCACTTTACCTCCTTGGCTAAATACTTCTATAATTGACTCGTTCCCGGCGACCAGCCAGATTTCCGACGCGGTGAAGAAGATTTCGAACATCAAGACCATAGTTATCGAATATTGTCGGTCCCCACGAAGTGCAAACGGCACCAGCGGCAAGTTTCTTCAAATCATATTCTCAGCCCTTACGGATGCCGGGACTCAGCCTGAGTATCTATATCTGTTCACGAAGGATTCAATTCAACCCAAGACAGAGTTACTGACAGTTGTACCATGTGAATACTACACTCCCCCCAGCAATGTTAGTATTGTATGGCACAAGCTGGTCTTCTTGACGGTGGGCGAGCCCTCAGACGGGCCAAGCAGGGAGTATATTGCCCATATGTTCACCTCGTTGTTT